CTTTCTCAATTCTTCGTCCTTCATTCCCCTATCTTCCCGGCTACCCAACCACCTGAAAGCCTTTTTCATGGCAGTCGAGTTCTCGCCGTCGTCCAACTTCTTCAATGTCCTCAATCACAAGATTTCTCATACCGTTTCTTCATCGATATTCACTCTCCCTTTCACCCTTTCCTTCTTTCTGTTATCCAAAGCCTCCATTATCTTTACAATGTCTTCTCTTCAATTTTATCTCTTTACAATCCCTTGTTTTCCACTTTCGTATACAATTTCTTTATACTCTTGGCTGCAAATTCAATGGTTTTCTCTCTTTTGTTCTTCGAGTACCATTTTATTAATTGGTTGGGGTTCTATTTGTCTCCCAATTGAATCACCTTCATGTCGGCTGCCGGTGTGTCGTATATTCGATGATTCTGGCTTATGTGATTGTGATTTGTAACATGGCTTTGGTTTCTTCTAGAATGGAGAATTCCGGTTGTTGTGGGGGATTATGGTTATCGTAGTGACGGTGATTATGGTGGGGTTTTGTTGGCTTTGAAAGGGGTTTTGATTGCTTATTTGTACTCTGTTTTTGTTGTTCTTGTTACTGTGGTGAGTTGCATGTTCTCCAAGAGCTGCAAAACTGGGTGCTTGGTGGATCATCCATAAGGAATATATTGTTACAAGATTGAGATTGTTGCAGACAGAGAAGATAAAACGTTTGTGAAGAATAAGAGGAGTCAAACGGTTGGTCAAATATGCTGAGTCAAATGGTTTAACGTGCAAAGTCAATATTTTTGTTAACAGCTGTTAACGACACGTAATCACTTTGTAACAAACGATAACATTAGTGATTGATTTATAACTTTTCAAACATTAATGGTGAAAACAAACAATTATTCAAACATTAGTGACCATTGGATTAGTTTACCCGAAATTTTAATTCTAAAACTTAATTCGGTTACGATGATACTCGATTTTTTAAATTTAAATTCAATTCAAGAAAAAATTAAAATTTTAAAAATTAATTAATTATATTTGATTATCTTTTTTGTCTATTAAGAATGAAAATCAATTCCCTTTAGTTGAGTTGAAGATCTGATTGAAATTCCCAGATTTAATTAAACGTGTCCAATTACGCTAATAAATAACTTAAATTAAATATTGAAATATTTGAATTTATCTTAATTATTTCAGCTACTCAAACTCAAAATCATATTTATAAAAAATAAATTTAAATATTAAAACTTTAGAAGCATCTCTGAATTTCAAAAAAAGAAAAAATCAATGGATTTTCAAATTGTTGGGTTTGTAAGCAAGAGACTATATATATATATATAAGGGAAATTTGAAACGGCTTAAATCAAACCTCGCCCAAAAAAGGTCAACTTTGGAAAGGAATCAATATAAAATAAAAAGGGGCATTCCAAGAATTGAACTCGTGACGTCTCACACCCTAATCAACAATCGTACCACTAGATCATGAGTACAGGTTCATATTTTATGGCAGATATAAATAACTGCGTAATAACAGCAACAAAAACACACCACAGACATTGACAGTTAAAAGCAAAGAATTTACGCGACTTTCTTTGAACATTCATCAGATCCGGTTCGAATTCCAATATCCGAAACATTCCTCTCTCATCCTCAGACTGCAGCTGCTTTCCCCATCATATCATACTATCTGCTCTTGCGGGCAATCTTTTGAAGAAGTTTTGTGGCAATGAAGGAATGTTGATTCGAAATCGAGGATGTCTCATCGCGAAAAACCCGAATCCGAGTGCGAATAAGCGACAAGGAACAAGATGGAACGTTATACAAGCGATTAAACAAAAGGCCATGAACATTGAAGTGGCTCTGGGGTCTCGCCAACTTAGCATAGAATTAAACCTCTCAGCTTGAGTTGCCAAGTCTCCGATTATCGTCATCATCCTCCCCGCAATACTTCTCAACCGGTCATACCTCTTTTTAACAACTTTATCTTCTTTGGAAGTCGGAAATGTATCGAACTCCTCGTCGAAATCATCAGACTGCACGGATTCGACGAGTGACAACTTGGTATCCATGTGAGGAGGATGTCTTGGCCTCTTCCTATACTGTGAAGCTCCGTGGACGATGCACATGAGAAAAAGGGGCAATATCTTTTCAGGGAAGAGAATCAAGATCGAATATAGGAAGTGAACCATCATTGTCGAGATCGGATTCTTCCATTTGCGTATTGTATCGAACCGTTTCCAAGCTTCGACAAGTAGATTAAATGCAGCCAGGAGTCTCTCGAGATTCGCTCTGCCCCTTCTTAAACTCCATACATTGGAGCCAACATCCAGCATATACTCCACAACTTCTCTTCGTAACGGTGGCTCGGCACGATGCAATCTCGAGGAGAGAATATGAGTAGCCTGGTGCCGCAAACTTTCGATTTGATATACGGATAACGGAAGAAGGTAATGCATTTCAGGGAACAAAGGTTGTGTATAAGATTGTAACAAATTCCATGTAGACGAGCATGTAAATCTCACTGACAATTGAATTTCACCCGTTTTCTTCACTCCATTGGGTTCCAAGACTATAAGTGGATAAGAAAGTGTATAAATCCTATCTGTATTAAGTGTAGACAGTCGGATCCTTACCTTCCCGATTCGTCGATCCTTCGAATCTGTAGCGTTACTTCCTCCTTGCAAGTGACAGTTATTGAAAACTCCGATGGTGATAACCGTATAAGGGTCATAGACATCCCATGTGTATTGCTCATTCCATTTTGGAGCAAAACTGTTGACGATAGTCCTCGTTCTAACCCACTTAGGCCCGTATTTCACTACACAATAAGCATCGGTAGTTCCTAGTCCATCTTTCGACTTCATCGGAGCAAACCGGACGCATTCAAGATTCCGAGCTCCAATACACCAATGGAAGGAGGCCATAACAATTTGGATGTTGCCCTGAAATCACTACTGTAATAAATGGACTCGTCTAGGACATGGTAGCCTCCATCTAAACAGATCCTCAAATGGAGCCTGCTGGCAAACCTCGCTTCCCTCTTCTTTCGGTTAACAGCTTCCTCGAGATTATACCAATGTGCATCGACAGGTATCGGCATTAGCCTCTTCTCGACTTTCGACAAATGAATCGAGCAACTCCCGAGAACTTCCTCTTTGTTATCACCCAACTTATCCACCACACACAAGATCAATGGATCATCAAATGGTTCCGCTACGACAAACATCAGATCCTCGTTCCATATTGGGTTTACACTCTTATCCGGCGAAAATCTACTCCTTAAAGCCATATTCCCAAGCATAGATTTGACGTAAACTTCAGGGACCCTGTTGTTATTCATAGGCACCAAATCTTGTGCTTGAATTATATTGACTCTGAGATACCAGAGCCTAGGCGAAATATACACTTTCGATCGAGTATTCGATATGCTTTCGCTGGTAATGGTGGCTGCATCGGAATGCCATGCATCAGGGAACACTTCATCAGCTTGAGTTCCCATCCAAATAGCTAAATCAATTCCCCTCTCTGGCCTTTTCTTCCATGTTCATCCTCCAAAATATACCACTGCGGTGCGAGCGGACTATCAGGTGGGACGCGAGTAGGAACGTCTGGTATATCGAAACCGACTTTGCCTACAAAAATCTCTTTGTTCATCACAGTTATCTCCACGGTCACGGCCTGGATCCGATCTTTTGCAAACGCGAAAACTTGGTTCCACTCGGGATCAGGGCTATTGACGAAGGTCTTCGTCGTGCCTTTGTAGTTACCAATCTTTACTTGAACAAATGGATTGCACGGTGAACATGGTAAATCTTTGGCCCTCACAATTTTTATGTACAGAAAATGCAGTTGTTCGACAAGGTCGAATGACGAGGTAAGCTTTTCGCTACCGGAAACTCTTCCTCCACCGATATTCGGTGAAGTTTCCTTCAATGAGAAGTCCATGTTTGATTCAGACATTGTTCAAACTATCTGCATCAAATGTTTGATATAAAAACCAAAAAGAATTGTCACAGCATTTGTAAACGTTATAGAGCAAAAACGGCAAAGAAACCTGATAAATGAAAGGTAAATATTGCTTGCCTGGATTGAGGCTTGAAGAAGGAGACCAAGGTTGAAGATGAATATGAATGAAATTTACTGTGTCTTTGTTCAAGATTTAGGAATAGTTTAGCAGGTAAACTTTCAAGGAAAAACAGAAGGATCTCAAGAGAGTGTAAAATAATATTAAATAATAATAATTCCCTTTAATTTACCATAATTAATGTTAACTGTTGGGAAATAATCTTTCATTTTATTTATTACTTGATTTTGAATTTGAATTACTTATAACGTAATACGAATGATTACCATTTATTACACTATTACTTCACGAATGATTTTTTTTAATGAAAACAATGTAATTTTGAGATTTATTCTAAAGAGAAAGGTTAGTAAATATAGATAATACATGGCTTGGTTAGATAAAAAAATGAATAAATTATTCTCTTATAAGTTAAAAATAAATTTATTTGAATTTTTAACCACTCACATAATTTAGTATAGACAGAATAAATAAATAAATAAATAATACTTGTTTAGATTAAATATTATTTTTATTCGAATTTTTACTCATCTCTATAATTTTAATTTTAAATTTATATTTATTCTTTTTATATTATGACAATTTATTTTAAAATTCACGAGTCGTTTTTATTTCAAATTCATCATGCCAGCTTCGATTTTACTTGTATTGAGTATTGATTTTAGGTTTAAGATTTAGAGAGTCCACACGAAAGATTTGAGAGTCGTAGCGTTGATGAACGAAGGGTGGTCGGAGAGAAAGGAACATATAAGTTAAAGGGATTAAAATTAAGATAATTTCAAAGTTAAGTGATTAAATAGAAAATTTTAAAATATTGGTGAACAAAATAGGAATAAAAAGATACTTTAATGATGAGCATAATATACCCAAAAATAAGAAAAATGATAATTTTAGTGAAGAGGGAGAGTAAAACTCACTAACACCAAATTACTAAATTTTAGGGACTGCCAACTTCAAATCTGCCGCAAAAAGAGGGGAAGCAGCTCAGATTTTCGAAAATTTCAAACCCCCTCTCCCTCCAAGGTAAAACTTGCTCATTTCCTACCACTTTCTTGCCCATTTCCCTCTTCTTTCTCGTCTCGTAATAGAATATCCACTCACCCAAAAGAAACAAGAATATTCTTTCTCCGAATATGCAGGAACCCTAGAACCTAAAGTCTCAATCTTTGTCGTTTTGAACTTCTTTCCTTCTCCTTCTTCTTTAACTAAGCTCGGGATCCAACTCTACTCTTTCTGATTTTCTTCTTCTTTTCCCCAACGGTTTCTTAGCAATCGGATAAGTTTCGCGAACAAACGTAATTTTATTACTTTTCTAAAATTGTTTTCTTTGGGGGTGTTTGCTTCTTAAGGTGAAGTAGTTTTAAGGTAAGGGGATGTTGAATTTGAGGTTTAAAAGTTGTAATGATTTGTTTCATATGCTCGACTTATACTTTCTATTTGGTATTATTGGTGTTTAAGATTTATATTTTGGCGACTATTGTAGCTAGAACTTTGATTTGTTTAGTGCTTTGAATGATTCAGAATTAATTTGTTTTCTGTTGTTCTTTATAGATTTGTTTGGTCGGATTTCGGGAACGGATGGGAAGTAAGAAAGATAAAGGTTTCTACCATAGCCTTTCAAGAAAAGAGCTTCAAAGTTTATGTAAGAAATACGGTCTACCTGCTAATAGGTCGAGCTCGGATATGGCTAGATCACTGGCCTCCTATCTAGAGGTAATTTATTAAGCTATCCCTTCCGTTGGCAACTAAGAGTTGGGAATCTGAAGTATATCATACTGCTTTTTGCCTATGTGTTGCTTAGATTGTGTTTTAGTACCAATATGTTTTATGCATCTGGATGTAAATATTGCTGGCCTGCCAAATACAAAACATTCTCTAATATTCTTTATTCCTCACATAGTTTTTTTTTTTTTTTGCAAAACATGTTACTGAATTTACATGACTTTGAAGATCTTGTTCATCCTATCATAGAATATATTTGAAAAATATGCAGAACCAGAGATTGGGTTCAATGACCACGAGGGCAAGATTATATGAAATTCAAGAGGCTGGACTTCCATTGTCCCTGCAACTCCCTTTCAAGGATGGTGATAAAGGTATTAACTAGTTATTGTGTGCCTAAGCAGTTTCATTTAGTTTTCTGCACTATGATTTCCTTACTACAGTTGATGTGCCATAGTAAGAATAGCATCTGGCTACTTTTGCAGATTTCTATGGACTCATCTCTTGTCCAGCAGGCTGTTGTAATGGAGTGAATTATTCTCAAGCTGTTAAAAGTAATGGATTGGATTGTTGTCCAGGGGATAAATTTTATCATAAGGTTTGCTTCTTGGATGTTTATGTTTAAGTTATGGATTATATTTGACACCTGATGCAACCAGATATATCCCATATAATTCCTCACTTCATCTTCCCCATCGGTTGTTCTCTCCTGTAGCATGTGTTAGGTTAATGCAGTTGTTCCTGCTGAAAGATATATACCTTTTCGTCCAACCAGAAGTGAGAAGATCTCCTCACCTCCACCCAACACCACAACCAAAAGGAAAATACAATGGTGCACTAAGATTTTACCAGATGACACTTTTGTCTTCTAGTCTATGGCCTGTGAAAATTAACTTGAGGGCAGCTTTTTAAGCAAGATGTATCTGGCAGAAAGATGTGGATGCTTTAGCCTGCAATTCTTAATTGTTTGCTTTTAAGAACTCAAAACTTGTTTCTAATTATCCGGGTCCATCAATGCAGGATGACTATGGTGGTGATTCTATTTTCTTCCAGCAAACACAGCGGCCTCAGTTGGTTACTCAGTATAATAATAGTGGTTTTAAGAATAAAGAGTTCCCAACAATATACGTCAACAGAAATTGTTTGAGTCTTCCAAGAGGCGGGAAGATGAATGATGTGCCTCAAATTGGAAACAAAGATGTGAATGTTGGTGCATGTTCTAATGAGGCTGACTTTCATTCCTCCTTAAACACTTCTACTGTTTCTTCCTCTTCTTTTCAGTTTCATGTAAAATCAGAAGAGGGCATTAACCTTTTTGTTGATTTAAATTCAAACCCATCAGAATGGGTTGAGAAATTGAGGAGTGAGGTTTCTATATGCCAGAACATGTCCCATAGCAAGTCTCAGAGTTTCCGTAATGAGCTTGGGCACTTTGGGGAAAGTAGTAAGCAGTTGAAAAGTTCTTTTCAATTGAATGTAGAAGCTGGGAGAATAGCAGATGGCCATATATACTCTGGATTACCCCCAAGTTTGATCATAAAAGAACATCATGCATTGCAGCTTGATAATTCAAATGGAGATGAAAGGCCCACAGGATGGCCATATATACTCTGGATACCCCAAGTTGATCATAAAAGAACATCATGCATTGCAGCTTGATAATTCAAATGGAGATGAAAGGCCCACAGATTCCACTGTAATAACATGCGTTGAAGCTGTGGATGTGTCGGAGCACTTAGAAGGAGTCAAGGACTGCCCACATTTCAAGCTCTTCCTGATGTTCAAGAGGAAATGATTTCTTCTGGTGCATCCTCTGCTAAAGATGGATGTTTGATAACTCCTGATTCAAATGCTAGTTCTCCCAAGGAGACGTTAGCCAGTGACGCTATGTTAAATATATCAGATTGTGCACCAAATCTTCTCATAGGGAAGCATAAGAATTCTAGTCTTGAAAATGAAATATGTGATAATTCTACCCTGCAAAATGGTTGTAATCCAGTGAGTTCTGGTGTAATAGTTCCTGGATTTATGTCAGATGATTCATTGCAGATGCCAATGCCCAAAGATGTGGTTCACCAAAAAAAGACATTGCTTTCACCTTGTGAAAATGTTGAATTTGGGAATTTGGTTGATCAAAAGCATAATACTTATGCGGAACAAGGTGGAGTAGTAGGCTCAACTGGGCTTTGTCAAGAGATATTTAGGAATACTTTGCCTACATTAGTTGAAGAACAGGTAATAGTTCACCTTGTCCTGTCTTCTACCCTTGCTCCTAATCTTGTTATCCTCATTCTGTTTTCCATTGCGCTACTCTATTTATGTGTCAAAATTTACTAGCTAGTTATTATTTTGAGAAATATTGTTTTAGGTGTTTTTTTCGAGTTACATGGCCATTCTTAATGAATATAGTAGATTCATCTTAAGGGTAGAAGAAATCTTCTGTTCTTATCTTCCTCTTTTTACTTGTAATAATCTGAACACACTGGTTTAGTAAAATCAATTTATTTACTTTTTTTTTGTTTCTGTTTATGGGTGGAGACGAGAGATGGGCTTAGAATTTTAACTACTTATCTATTTTGTCTTAGTATACTCAATGAAACAACTAAAATTATACTGTATGAAACTGCTTGCAGGATAGGAGCAAAGTTATTAATTGGGGAGAGAGTTCGGAGTAATTATCCTTCATAAATTAATTATATGTTAGAATATTTATTTATTGTTGATTTGGTTGTATAAACTGCCCTTTCCAGATGCTCACATGATATTTGAAATTGCGAGAGTGCTTGTAAGCTTGATTCTAATGGACTTGGGAAAAAGAGAGCATATACAGAAGGTGATCAGAATGATTGTGGCATGCTTGATGCCAAGGTTTTAAGAAGCAGAAAGCATCCTATTAGGAAGGTAGATGATCAAAATGATTGTAGCATGCTTGATGTCAAGGTTTTAAGAAGCGGAAAGCATCCTATTAGAAAGGTTGTTCCTAGAAGATCCATGCGGCTGGTTTCCAAGGTTCTTTTTTTTTACACTTCCCTTTCTGTTCAATTAATTGCAGTATGCCACCCATTTGAAATATAACCACACATTTTGGTTTACATATGAAGAAATGTTTGTTCTTTCTGTTCTCCTGATTTTATGTTTAACATACAAGGAAATTGAAAGTTAGTCTCAGTCTAACAAAAGTTTATGCAATAAGGCTGTAGCCTCTAGTCTTCAAGTTGGTGTTCATGCAACTACTTTGCTGTTACTTCTATCTTGTGTCCGGGTGAGAGAGTGGATTTAGCACCGACGAATACTAGATAATAACCTATCCCTTTCCATTTCAGGGTCTTCATCTTCTACCAACTTTGTTCTCCTATTGGTGTTCCTAGTACATGGGAACACATACAAGCATGAGATTCTAGATCCACTGTTTTTGATGTAGAACGTGTTTTATATGTTAGTCAATAGTTGGCATATGTATATGGGGTGGATTTATTATGATAGTTATTTGATTGAACCATGCTTGATTGCATCTTTTTAAAGGAGATAATAGAATTTGAAATGTAGGACTGCATAAAACTGACATTGTTTAAAATTAACCTTAATCATGCTTGATTGAATCATGCTGGGATAGTTTCTTACCTTAATCAGACCTTAATCAGCTCCGTTAGTGGCAGAACTTCCACTTTATTAGGCTGCTATTGTAGACTATGATGCGATGAATTTTTCAGGTCTCCAGATTTAAATTCGCTGTGTTTTAGGATTTCTTCAGTTTGTCTGAACATTTTCAGTTGTTCTTTTCTTCTTCAGTGATTTATGAAGTCTGTGCCGGCGAAATTCGAAATATTGGTTTCAGTTTTCCTTAGGAATTCATATTGCAAAGTCAGGTATTGTCTAGAGTAAGTGTTAAGTAATAATTTTGCATAATAATTTCATTTGAGCTCACACTTAAGAAAATGTTGGTTTAACTGAAATAATATATGCCAACCTATGTTGTTCGGACAGTTGAATCCGTTATTGTCCAAATCTTTGTTAGTATTATTGTCATGAAAACTTATGTTGTTCTGACTCGGTGTTAGATACGAGGATGTTAATTTTTTTTTAATTTTTTTTTTGTATTATGAAATCTTTGAAGGTTATGTCTTTATACCTATGTTAGATACTAGTGTTGAACTCTAACATTTGAAGAAAAGAAAATGAATTTATCCGTTTAGAATTTTTTTAACATGTTGATAACGAAAACACTCTTTTGCGTGTGTAGTTCAATGAAATCACTCAATTGAGTTCAACTTATAACGGATTAGAGTTTTCTTATTGGAAATGTTTTATGAGCTAAAGCATAAAAGCTCTAAAAAATACTTAATTATGCTGATGGTCAGTTAAACAAAGAATTAGTTTTTGGCATTACTTTATTGGATAATTATTTGATATATTGGTGGTGAGTTTTAGTTGGTTGTGACATGTTTTCAATTGTTTATTTAAATAGTAGTGAATGATACATGATCTGTTATAGTAGTTTACTTTATTAAGAATGATTTTATAATTTAATTTCTCTTTTTGAACAAGAAAGATATATAATTTATTTTATTTTATTTTTAGGTCTTCTAAATCAGTTTAAATACAGTTTAATGCTAAATTTCATGCGTAGAATCTGAGATGGTAATATTTTATAGGGTGAATTATGTGTTTAATGCTTAAACTATCAATTTTAATCTGTTTTAGTACGTAAACTTTTAATTTTTTTTAAACTCAATTTTTCGAGATTGAATGTTTAGACCCTTAGCATCTATGATGTTTGAATTCCCAGGTCATCAAGGAATAATAACAATATCTTTATCACTGAATACTTGGTTTACCTTATTAAACCTATTTTATAATAGGCCTAAGGGGCATGGAATTCTAAACTTTTTGAAAAAAATTAGTTCCGTTTTTTATTCAATTAAATATTTAAATTGAGAATTTAAATCAATTGATTCTTTTGTTAATTTTAATTGTTAAATCTTAATTATTTTTAAATGAAAATATTATTGATATGTGGTACACCTTAATTTTGTCATGTGAAATTTATAATTTTTTTTGAAGAAAAAAGTTAAAACTTATTAAAAAATTTAAATAATTTTAATCTTTATAATTTTAAGGTATAATGTAATAAAATAGCCTTAACATTTAATAATGTTAAATTTACTCGTATTGTTTTTTTAGAACATTTGTGATTGAAAGTTTATTTTTAGGTCAAAAATAACTCACATGTGGAGGGGAAAGTTGACGTGGATGTACATGTCATCGAAATTGTTGACGTAGTATTGCCATGTCAATTTTTAAAAAAATTATTATTTATATTTTTATGTTATTAATTCAAACCAATCTGAGAGTGACATGTGTCACTGAGACTCAAACCTGGATCCCTGGGGTGAATTGTTCCTATTTTTGTCATCAGACTAGGCTACTCGCTCAAATAATGAATAAAATAAAACGTATTTAATAGATGTTTCTGTCTAAATTTCATTAAAAAAAAAATTAAAAATGTGTTGCTATTCCCCTTATATCTGCTGACAATTTGATTTCCCAATACCCGATTCTTCCCAAAATAATAGGCTTTAGTTTATCCTACGAAATTTTTTTTTCAGCATTAGCAATTGATTTGCATCAGCAATTGATTTGCATCAGCAATTGATTTGCGTATTTCACTCTAGAGGAAATGAAACACCTTGGGGTAAATTAGAAGGCAAAACTTCATCACACAAATGATTAGCATCTTAAGCCTCTAACAGTGGAAATTGTTATTATATTAACCTACATCAAGTAATCTAATACCTCGAACAATTTGAACAACTTACATTCACAGCAATAGCTTTTAGTGCTATGCAAGCTGAAACAAGACCAGACGAACTATTCCCTCCATGAAGAGATTCCACAAAAGCTCTCGCAGTTCTGATTTTTGCAAATCTTCGTGCGTAACCATAAACCTGAAGCAACCAAAAAATGTCACAACCATTTTGAGGAACAATAACGGTACTACCTAAAAGATTTATTACACACACATGTTACTTACTTCCGAAGCAACAACATGATTATCATCAGATATTAACAAAACACGTATAGCATCATATAAGCTCAGAACACTTCCCTGAGTTTGTCCACTCAAAACTTGTAGAATCAGCTCATCGATTCCCAACTCCATAAACGATCGTTTAACAACTTCATTACCAGTCGCGGCAGCAGCAACAACAGTGAAACCCGAATTCAAGATATATATACCTGGAATCCCATAACTAAGAATGCTAACCACAATCTTCGGCCCTCAATTTCCCCTAAAAGTCTCGCTACTTAAAACATCTAAAAATACAACATAACCAAATAACTCCAACACATAAACCATCACTAAATCTTAAATACATATACATGAATTGTTTCATACCAGTGAGCAACGATGACATGGTATTTAAGCAAGAAACTAGAGGCTGTCTTGATTCAGTTGGAATCTTACTACAAATCGAACAAACTAACTCGATACCTCCATTTTTAGCAATGATTGCAGCATTTCCCGAATCTTCTTTATTAGCACAACTCATTTCACTTAGGTTATTAAGTAATTCTGTGATTTAGACTAAATCTTGAGTGTCGAATTGATGCTTTGAGTCAGAATTGAGTTGATTTAGTTTATCCAAGCTTTGTATTGTGTCCGCGAATTGTGACTACTAAATATGGTCGCGAAATATGTGCAAATATATACAATCGAACAAGTAATACAGTGATGAGCGAGTATCGTATCCACAAGGATTGAAGGAAATTTATAAGTTCAATCAAAACAATTATCTATTTTACCTAAGTATAGTTAGTGATGGTATGTACAAATGAGAGTGTTGTGGCAAAATGGATCTTGAAAAAAGTAAATTGAGTGTAGTGAAATCAATTTAAAATGCAAAGACACAACGAAATGTAAACATAGGATTTGATCCAAATGACTTTAGGCTCCTCACACAACAAGCTATTATGTGAATGAATAATAGGAGTCACTTAGGAAACTTAAGTCTAATTTCTCAGGATGGTCTTACTTCTATGTCTTACTTGCCTGACAAAGTTTACTAAAGTTGCCCTATGCTATCTCTAGTTAAGGGACTCGATAGTTTGAAGATGCCTTGGCAATACCTCTCGGCATTAGCAGGTGCAAAATCCTATTGGTTTAGATCAACATAATATGTCACGTCAATACCACTCAGCGTTAACACTAGCATTTAACCTCTCGATCGAGCACTACTCCTTTTTAGTCGATTGAAATCCTAACCTTATGTCTAAGGTTGGATTAGGTCTAGTTACTATCTAGAACCCCTTGCTTATGTTGATCCTCCCTAGTTTCTCTCGAACACTAAAGATATGCTACTTAGTCATTCTCTCGAACACTAAGCATACTCCTAAGGAATGACTACTCTCATAGCTCCTACAACCTTAAGGCATTAAGCATCATAAGCAAAACAAATAACAGCATGCAAAAAACAACCATCCATTAAAATAAAACTTAAGTATCCATAATGAACTTCCACCAAATAAGACTAGTTCATGGTGGGGTTCGAATATTCCAAACAACAAGGCATGAAATTAATCTGTTCCATACAACCCAACTAAGATAAATGAAAGCACATAGCAAAGGGATGGAGGAAAATCCTTCAACGTGCACTGCTTGAGCTTCCCTCGGCCACCACGAACTGTCTTAGCTCACTAGCTCCTCTCAGACGCCTAGCTCCAACTCCCTCTAGCTTGTTAATGGAGAAATGCCACGACAAAAATGATTGACAAGAAAAAGGAGAGACATTTTCTTTTTTTAAACTAAACTCAAAACAGAGTGAAAAAGAGTCTCTAAGTCTGGTGGCTTCATCACCTATTTATAGTGGGGAATAAACCTAGGAATTTGTGTTAAAATTCCTAGGATACCCCGAGCTGGTTTTCTTCACGTGAGGGGGTGAGGCAGATGTGGTAGTGGTCCCCTCCTAGGCAGCTGGGCATGGTCCATTATGGGAGGCTTGCAGCTGCACGTATGTGCCGACATGATTAGTCGACCCAGGTGGAAGATGTTTCCTCCTAGGTGTCTGGCAGCTGAAGGCACGTGAAGACAAAGACAATTGGCTCTTGAAAATCTATTATTTCATTTTTTTTGCTTCCGAAATGTCGCCCGAGTTGGCATTTGCATTCTGCTCAACATTCCGATCATGTCATGGCAATTCTCCTTACTTATCCATGCTCACAAATCATGCACATCATCAAACAAAATACCTTCCCCATAACGCAACACCATTTACAAAATAAAATGCCACGACAAAATATATTTCCACCACATGCAACTATATGCTCCTAAATGCATCTATATGATCCTATATGAGCTCTTAGATAGTCAATAACTTAAGAAAAAAGACCCTAAATATAGCCTTTTTACAGAGTATTACACCCCAAAACTTAAGCTATTGCTTGTCCTCAAGCAATTGATAGTATTAAGCAAAATAAAAATACCATGGCAAGTTCAGGATCAAGATAATCATATGGGATAGAATTTCAGACCTCAGAACAGTTGGCTTCAATATGCTAGACTAAATTGAGAAATCAAGTATTGTCCCCTAGTGCAAGATCCTTTGTGTATGTGTTTGTGATTGTATCAAGTTTAACAAATCTAGAAAATTTCTAGGCAAGCTATCTTGTTTTGCCACTACATTTACAAGTTTACTCCCACATTGTTTTCTTCTTCTTTAAGACTGCTACGAGGGGAGTTAACTCATCACATCTACCATCCCACACTCTAGGTGAAAAAGAGCATACCTTCCACTCTCGAGCTAGTCAGGTAGAGTCATCCCGTGACTACTTTCATTCACTCATATGTCGTGGTTGCCACTTATTTAAATGTAGTATCTAGGCAATGCTATGGCATAGCGGAGTGTCCTCCTACAGTTATTTGCAATTTTATATTTTATACATGTGGGGTTTTCATTATTCAAGGGCATTGTCTAAAATTTATGCCAAGGTATGCAAGAGTTATATTATAAAAAATTTCTAAGTTCCTTAAGCATGGAAAACATACACTCGTGTATCAAAAAGTTTCAAAGGACCAAGTCCTAGAGTTGGTTCTATCATTCTCAACATACATATACATTCAATTCTAGCCATAAAGAGTTCATCATCATCGGGCATCATTAATTTATTCCAAAAACTAATTCGAACACTTACTAATGTCATGGCATATTCATTCTACTAATATTATCATGTAATGAATTAATAACCCTACCTCCCCAAACTTGAGAGAAGCATTGTCATCAATGCTAAATAAAAACTAAGTTAAAACTAGATTACATGATATGCAATGTAAGGTAACTTGACTATCTAAGGTGGTGGTATTGCCGTGCGACATGGGCGCTTGCGCAATTGTGTGGGGCTGGAGTGTTCAGAATCTGATGGTGGTGTAGTAGGGGGTCCTAAGGCCTTCAGGGATCAGGGTGAATTGAGGCTTTTCACTCTGATACACCTTCTTTAGACGATGTTGACTCCTTCGTAGAGGGATTTATTGTGGCATTTCTGACTGTGCTGCCTTAAGTAGCTCGGTGGGTTGCAAAGGTGGTGGTAAGGTTGAGAGCTGGAACTCGATCTCTTGGCGTTTGGTTGTTGGTACTGAGTGGATTGGATTAGGATTTGTTGGTTCCTCGTCATCAACGGGATAGGGAGCATATTCTGATGCCGTGACATCCGCAGAAAGACTCAAGAGTGTATCGGGGAAGACTGGGATATCAAGATTAACGTGCGGGAGGATCTTCATGAAAGCATTCTCCACAAACTCATCACGGCGCTTAACATAGGTAAGAAAGGTCGTCAGATTGCTGGTCAACTGGTCCACGTGATCTTGGGTTCTCTTAATGACCTCCTCTAGAGCATCTAGTTTTGTCATGGCATCGTGGTTTCATGTGCGGGAGGTGCTTTCCTCTTTTTCCTTGCCCTTGGTTTCCTTGAATCCAAGCAACATGGACAGCTTGGCATTTGTAATCCCATACAACCCAGGCAATATTTCGCCAAGAAACTTGGTAATCAATTTAGGAAAATTGAAAAGTTTAAGGACTTAATTGGGAATTTATTTAGGAGGATTGATTGGTAAAGATGAAAAGATTGAAGGGCATAATGTTCATTTGGAGGGAAATGGATTTTAAATTCATTCCCTTGGGTAGTATATTTACACATGGAAGTTAAAAGAAGGTAAAAGGAAATCTAGACAATTATCTTCATATTTCTTCTTCTCATCTCCACCGTGACTCCATAGCTTGAGGTAAGGAATATTTCAGTTGGTTATTTCTTGTAAATTATGTTTGGTTTTGATTCTTGGGGTGTTAGAAAATGTATGGAAGCTTAAGGAGTGATAGAAACTTAAAAGAATGACAAATTATGAGGATTTAATATAAGGGGTTTTTAAGTGAGCTGTTGGGAGAGAGTTTGTAAGTGGATTTTGAAGTTTTATTTGACTTGTCAAGGGTTTAATTAAGAAGATATAAGTAGTAGAAGTGAATTAAAAACATGTTGAATAATTGGTATGATTTTTGGTTACAAGTGTTCTATGAGAAGATGGATGTTAAAGTATGTTAAAGTGAAGTAAGTTAGTTTGGGAGTATATAGTTGAATTTAAAGGCTTTATAGAATAGTAAAATGAGAAAGATAGCAAAGTTTTGGTAATTTTTAGGTTTAAAGAAGTGTAATATGGGTTTGTAGTATCGGTACTGAATGAGTAAGTAACGATACTACAAGGCAAAAATAAGTGAAAATTAGGTGTAGGTATCGATACTACATGAACAGTATCGATACCACAAGGTAAAAGTGGAATAAATCTTCATGGGGGTGTCGATACTGAGGTGATAGTATCGGTACCATAGGTATCGATACCAATGGGGAGGTCTCGGTACCATTCTTGCGATGAAATTACAGAATCCCGAATAGGTATCGATATCGTGGGATTGTATCAATACTACAAGCATGGAGATATCGGTATTGTAACTGTAGTACCGATACTACTTAAGTTGGAATTAAGAAATTAGTGCTTGGTTTAGTTTATATTAGTAAGAATCTTTTTAATTAATTTGAATCCCGATATTTATTGGATTGTATATTCGTGTAGATATCGATCGAAAGCAAAGTCCAGACAAATCGACAGAGTAAGAATTTTTGAGAGAACGATAAGAGATTGGTATCGACTAGTGAGACGAAAGTGAGTACATGATATTAAGTATAAGTTATTTTATGGAATTAAGACTTGTGATGAGTCTAATTCCAATATTACATTACATGAGTACAAGAATACAAGCATGTAGTGAAATGATGTTTATGTGTACATGAGTATATGTATATGTCTAGATGTTGAGTGCATCTATATATGTGATCATTGTGAATGCGTGTTGGTGTGATAATCTATGTTAAGTGATATAATTGAATTATGTGATGATATGAACTTGGAATATAAATGATTATATGAATATGAAGTATAAACCATATGATATGACCTATGGGATTATATGAGAAAGGATATGTCTATATGAATACAAGAACACGTGATAAG